TATTTCGGTCATTTCTTCCTGCCCCGCTCGTCGCCCGTGATGTAGTAACTCCCGACCTTTTCTAGGAAAACATTAGTCACGAAAGTGAAATGATAACATCATGCGTTGCATTTTGAGTAAAGGTACAACTTTGGGTCACGTAAGCGAACATGTTGAACAAAGCAGGAATGTACAGCTCAATGAAAAAGAAATTTGCGGCGTAAAATCAAGGAAAGGCGTCCAGTTTTTAACTAAAGCGGAGGTGATAAGGTGGCTGAAGTGTAGAATGCAAACATTGAGGCGACCTAACCTTGAAAAGACCTAAAGACCATGTCATAAGTTGGTAGGTTGCTGTGCAACAAACTGCCTCAACCCTGAAGTTAAAGTGGGGTTCTTCCTGCTTGTGACCAAAAGAATCCAATAAACTACTGCTGGGATAAAAACCTACAGGCGTTTCCAGAAGGCAAAGTGCCTGAACAAAGATGGAAAGAGTTTGAAAATACGCTGCGCAAACTACTTTGTGTAGGTCTAGGAAAAGCAAACGCTTTTTGTACAGTATTACAACATTAGCATCAAGAGGGGAAGTGTCAGGCTCATCTCTCGATTATTATGAGTAAGCAAACAGAAAAAAAAGGAGGAAATTTTCCTAATAGAGTACAGCACTCCTTATTCAAATTCTTGGGGGACACAATACCGTCGACTGCAAAAACCTTCCCTCGCTAAGCTTAAGCTGTTTTTAGAACTGTCAACGCTGTGTTTGAGAGTTTCCGGAAGAACTCACGTTTCTTTATACAGTAAGAGCAAAACCACGCGCGACAAAACAGCAATCCTCAATACGCCTGAAGCGGAAAGACTGCTACACTATATATTGAAATAAAAAATTATGAATTAGAAAAAAAGGTTAAACCAGTTTCATTCTCAGTCAATGTTAAAATTAAATTAATTCATGACCTTCTAAAATCTCTCGACATACAACTGACGTTTTTAAGGAATTTTCCCATATTCTCGTGTTTATCAAACATCATCAATTGTGATTGGTTGAAAAAAATACAAGAAAGTCATGACGATCCTACAGCCTTGAATACGATATAACAAATACAGAACCCGCAATTTTGTTTCCCAGCATTTAGTCACACAATGATAGTTCCTATCTGTTTGTCCGAGAATGTCACGCAATGGAAAAATTTTTCAGACCATATCGTTAATCTCCTATAGTATTCCGACGCTTTGATATTATGAAACGATTCCATCAAATGATTCCATTGAATAATTCAATCTAATGATTTCACAAAACAATTTAATCAAATTATTTGCATCAAATAATTTCATCAAATGATTTCCATAAAATTATTTCCATAATATGGAAGTAGAGTGGAGTTGGCGTGTGTGAGGACATTTTGTAAAAATGGTCCCGAACCGTCAACTACTAGCGAAACCACGCGCGACAAAAAAGCAATCTGCAGTACGCAGGAAAAAAGGTGGCAAGGATTTTTTTTCACAAATTTGATGAAAAATAAACTCCAAAATAATGTACATTTAATACTGAATTAATTAATTAATTCAAATCTGAACACTTGTTGAAACTGCACTCGTTGTTTGAGTTTCTCGTGAGCATAAGGACGAAAAGACGCACGTACCAGCAGCATGAAACAAACACTAACGGCCGCTATTGGGCTGATGGAAGCATTTCTTGATGATGCCAAATGGGTATATTGTATTGCACTTAACTGTCATGATTCTTACGGAAAGCCTCTCCTTTTCAGTCTTAAGTGCGTTTCAAGTTCACAGAACGTCAATATATTCCACGCCTTCAGATCTACCGCATCAGCCAAAACAATGCTGCTGATTATAAAGTGAAAGAAGTGTTCATTTGTTTTTGACGCTGAGAGTATAAATAAAGCTGATAGACTACTAAGGAAAAAGGGTGTTTTGCCATGTAAATCTGCTGAGCATTGTTTGTACAAAATGAGCAGTACATTGATAGAGGTGTTTGGCCATATCGTTTTCAGTTTTACACGAAACGTGACAGAGCATTATAACCCAACAGAACCTGATTTTACGGCAGAATCTTTTGGCTACGATCCTCTACAGAGCACAGGTCTGGAATGGAATTACCTTCCGGTTGATGAACTTATTTATCAAGAACACGAGGACGATGAAGTCACAAGCCCGGATTATTTCGCGGCAAGCAGTCTTAACGTGAGAGTTCTAAACGCCTGTTTACCTGATGAAAAGCAAGAAATACAAGACGAACAGCAAAATAAAGATAGAGCCATGGCTTGGAAGAGACTCAGACCATCCGCCATCTGCACAGTTTGTAGGTCAATGTACATTGGGGCTTTGATTTCACCGCTGTCTGCTACCATCATAGGTTCACTTTATATGCTTATCTCCTACATCTCCTACCAAACTGAACTCAACTGCCAATTTCACTCACACGATTCCATTCCACTGAAAATACAATGGATTCGAACATTGTCTCAAGTGATAGCGTGCGTTTTCCTTTACATGTGGTTCTTTATAGCTACGCTTTTCCTTTTCCGACCATACCAGTTAAAAGGGGTTAAGAGAAAATTAATCTTCGTTGTCTTTCTGATGTTTTGTTTGGATACACTTTATCGTGTACTCCTCCAAGCCTATGGAATATCTCATTCGAAGATATCAACATTAAAAAGGCTGCCACTTAACTTTCTATTTTTGATCAGTATATGTTGGCAAGTTTATATTCTAACTAATCATTTCCGCATACTGTCCAGAGGGCGGCGCCCAAACTTATTTTTTAAAATACTGTTGCCAAGCTTAGTTACTTTCCTTCTTGGCATCCTCATAACTTCGTTTATTTACCCCGTGTACAACAAGCAAAACGGGAGAGGAAAATTAGTAATTGCCCTCTTTTCGCCCCTCAGTGGGGTTATCTTCAAAGCGATCTCCCGAATTTGCGTTCAGCGGTTATGGAACATAACTCATCCGGGATATTCATATGTCCTATTGGTGTCTTGGTATTTTGGCTCGGCGATTATTTTCCGAGTTTTGCAAGCAGATTTAGACAGTTTGCAGTCCATTGCCATTCTTGGGATAGTCCACGGCTTTGCAGAAGTCATAGAACGCAGCACCATGGTTTTTATTGATCACATTTTTCATGCTATTTGGAAAAAAAAATCAGTTCCTTGGGGAAACTTCCGCACTCCTCGCCGTGAGAGACTGATGGCTGATGTCGCCATCATAAGCATGTTATATGAATCAGCTGGTATAGTGTCTGTTAACGGTGGTTTGTACTTGTATCAACTCATTTACTTACGAAGCAGTTCACTTTTAAAGCTACTGCAGGAGTTTGCTTTTCGCACCTCAGTTCAGCTGGTCATTGAATGGTTTTTCACTAGCGTATCTCTCGCGATCGAGACTCACTATCAGAACATGGCTGTCATGGCTGTTTGGCGAAAAAGATGGAAAAGACACTTTTTGGTAGGGGTAGTAAATGCCGTGCCTTTAGCTTTGTGGACAAGCAATTATCTCATAGAGATTGTAAATGGGCGACTTAATGAGGCTGATCAGCCATGTAAAATGCCGTTTACCTGAGCGTGGGGGGTAAATAAAGTTTACTTACTCCGGCTTCTTTCGGGAAAGGGTTTTCACTTTGTGGTCTTGGAGTCTGTTAGTTTTTTTCCCTATGTAAAAAGCGCGGACGTATTTCCATTCAAGTTTTACCGACCTACATTTACCTACTCAAGTGAGAAAGGGTTCCACAGAGTGCCGAACGTGATTAATAAGGCAGTTCTTTGGTTTGCCATATAAAGCTTTGTAAATCACGATAGAAACAAGCGCCACGTAAAGAAAGTTTCCAACTGAGTGTCGAAAAACCAAAATCAAAGTAATCACAGTGACTAAACGTAACAAAGGTTTACAATATCATCAGCCAATGAGACCTCACAGTGAGAACAAGCCAACTGCTAGAACTGAGCGCGGGAAACGCGAATGACCAAGTCGCGACTGCTTTTAGTTTGCATCTGATTGGTAGAGAGAATGGCGCGAGGTTTTGTAGACAATCATAGAGCAAAGTAAGGATAAAGCAATAGCACCTTAGATTAATTTCGACACTTGATTGAAAATTGTTCTAAATGCAACCAATAAAACGCAGCTTTCTGGCTAGTTATTACGTGATCACTTACATTCTGCCGCACTAAACGCCTCTTATCATTTTGTTTTAACACTGAATTCTCATTGCGAGCTTTTTAATATTCAGACTTTCGCTAAGATTGTAGCTATTTTCATTTGTTGAGATTTAACAGCATTTCATCAAAATATTCATCAAAAATTGATTTCAGAATAAACTGATAGAAATTAGAATCACAAATTGATTTCAGAATAAACTGTGTAGTTGATAAAAGTTAGAAACGAGTGAATGATTTTTATTTATCATAACAGAGAATCAGAAGAAATAAATAAACTTGGGTTTGACATGATATAACTGACCTCTGGAACTGCAGAAAAGGCAAAAATTGTCCAACAAAAAATTATGAAAATGAAATGCTGGGTTAAAAGAAAATCAAAGAGGAATTAAATATGAGAAAACGCATAGCGAAATTGCTTGTTATGGTACCAATTTTCGGATGCATATCAGTTCCGATTCTGTTTATGTCATCTCCAATTCTTCTGGATACGTGGGATCCAAACCTGTAGGTAAAATATCTCATTGAAAGTAGGACACATGTGGGGAGTTAGCTACTTCACCTATCACAAAAAGATGAACTCATGGTTCTGTACTAACTGGAGCGAAGGATACACAATCGATGAGCTCATCTCAGTGAGGGTCATTTTTCGCAAGAAATATGGAATCCAGTCGCTCGTCAACGACTTCTATCTATTTACAATATCACAATCTCATCGTCAATTCACATTCCGCCAGAGATAATGCGGTTAATTTACAGCCTAAGCTTGGAGAACCGTGAACGCTGTTCAGGTGGTAACTATGCGTAACAAAACAGAAAAAATAAATGTGTATGGATCTAACAAAACACATTTCAATTCATTTTGAAAACTGGCAAGGGAAAATTGAAACAACTACATACGTGTACAATCAAATTTATCGAAAAATTCTGAGCAAGGCAAGTTTTCAACGAAAATTCCTCAAGAACTAGTACCTGAATTCTATCTGAATATCAATTGAGACCCACAGAAAAGCGCCGAAATCCTTCTTGAGAGTTCAACTTAATTTACTCAGATGAGGATCGAAAGTGTTCTACTTATAAAATACTCATACGTTTAGACTGAAAGACTGAAAGGAACGGCTGAGAGACGGCTGAGTGACGCACTTCCTAATGACGTGATACGCAATTTGCAGGACCAGATTTAGAGAGCTGTACACGTTGGAGCTGAAGTGATACTATATAAGGATAAGATATCAGATTTACAGGGAAAGCCTGAAGGATGTACAAGAAGAATGAAAGATAATAAACATATGAATGAAAGACTGACACGGAATGATGATTTCTTCCCCGAGGTCAATAGCAGTAAACTGATCGAGGAGTTCAATTAAATGAAGTACACCCAAGGATCTTATTTCATTCGCATTTATGGTTTCGATCCTCTACACGGCAAAGCTCGATCCACCTTATGTTGAGAAACCTCAAGATAAAAAAGCTACAGCCACTTCATTTCATATCGATTTGTGCGACTCAAAGCGTGACTGAGCCGTGAAGATTTAGAACTGGTCTTCCTTCACTGAATTTGTTCGGGCACTACAAAAGATTACAGAGCCGCTAGGCAAGAAAATCAGAAACAATATCTCATTTTCGAAATTAGCAACAGTTGAGGCAACACATTTGGCGGCTCAAGGCATACATTACTCCAAACGGCTGTGAAAGAGGAAACGAATATCTCTTAGAAATTCGTCCGTGTAACTTCACCAAGAAAATGCGTATCATAGAAATACTAAGTCACATCATGTACAGTTTTACACGAAGTGTGGCAGACCATTACAGCCCAGAAGATTCAGAATTTACGGCAGAATCTTCTGACTACGTTCCTCTACAAAGCACAGGTCTAGAATGGAACCATCAACCGGTTGATGAGCTTATTTATCAAGAATACAGCCACTCTGATAACGGTTTTACTATAAGGGTGCTGGACGCTTGTTCACCAGAGAAGAACGAAGAAATTCCAGAAGATCAGCAAGATGAAGACAGAGCGATGGCTTGGAAGCGACTTAGACCATCTTCACTTCGCACAGTTCGTAAATCAATGTACTTCGGTGCACTGATTTCAATACTGACGGCTATGGTCATAGGCTCGTTGTATTGTTTGATCAGTTACGTATCTTTTCAAACCATGTTTAACTGCCAATTTCACCAAAAGAAGTCCATCCCCGTGAAAATTCAATGGATGAGAACATTATCTGATGCTGCAAGCTGTGGTTTTATTTACATGTGGTTCCTTGTGAATATCTTTTTTCTTTTTTTACCGCATCAGCTTCAAGGGCTGAGGAGGAAACTTATTTTCGGTACTTTTATGCTATATTGTTTGGACGCACTTTATCGTGTAATCCTTCAGAGCTCGGGAATATCCCATTCTAGGCTAACCAAAATACAAATGATTCCACTCATCGTTTTATTTCTTGTTAGCTTATGTTGGCAAGGTTATCAATTATGGAATCGCTTCCAAGTATTGTCACGAGGACGTATCTTTTTTTTTGTGCAAATTGCAGCACCGGGCTTCTTTACTTTTCTCATTGGTATCGTCACGGTGTATTTCACTTACCCAATGTACAACGAAGAAAATGAAAACAGAAAACTTCTTATTGCAATCTTTGCTCCCCTCTCTGGACTCCTTCTCAAAGTCATCGTGCGAATTTGCATTCAATCCTCATGGAACATCACACATCCGGGATATACCTACATCTTGTTCGTGCCTCTTTATTTCGGCTCAGCGATTTTGTTTCGAGTAATGCAGGCAGAACTTGAAAACATCAGCGCAATCACTATTCTGGGAATAATCCACGGGGCTGCAGAAGTTCTAGAACGAAGCACCATGGTTGTCATCGATCACATATGTCATGTTGTTTTGAAAAGAAGAGCAGTATCTTGGGGAAGTTTTCGTACTCCTCGCCGTGAGAGACTAATGGCTGATATCGCTATCATTAGTATGCTGTATGAATCAACTGCTATAGTGTCTGTTAACGGTGTTCTGTACTTGCACAAATTTATTTACTTAAAGGAAAACTCTCTTTCAACGTTATTCCAGAGGTTTTTGGTGGCGAGCTCAGTCCAGCTAGTGATTGAGTGGTTTTTCAACAGCATCTCTCTGGCAATTGAGACTTATCATCAGAACATAGCTGTCATGGCTGTTTGGCAACGAAAATGGAAAAGACACGTTTTGGTGGCGGTGATCAACGTGATCCCTTTAGCATTATGTTCTACACTACCAATTATTCAATTTATGCACGGGCAGCTTGCTAAGTCCCGAACTGACCAGCCATGCAAAATGCCATTTTCTTAGAGTGACAGTGAGCCCAGGGTCCCCTCCGATGCTTGGACGCTCGGTTATACGATCAAGGAAATACTATATAGGGAAATTAGCAACAGTTATATATAGGGAAAATACTATATAGGTAAAACTGGCTTCGGAAATTTGTGCTTGGTTTGCGGATCTATAACAATTTGTTGCAGCATGTTCAAGCTTTGCGTCAGTAGCAAAGTCAAAAATTGATAAAACTCACCCGAAAATTCAGCTCAAATGATTTATTTCTGTCTCAGTCATTGGAGATGATACGTTCTCGTCGTCATTTGAAATCAGGTTCAACTTAGGGCGGGGACAAAGCGGCCAACCCGGTTGAACAAAATAAGCCTACCTTTCCTGCTCGGGCAACCGATTGAAAAACCTGACAGTTTATTTCAAATAGTCTTATACTGGTCAAATTACTATATAGACTTTAAACCTTAGACAACTATTTAGAGCTCTAGAAGTTTCGGTTTCAGCTTCAATTTATAACCACTGCTAAAGTGAAACCACAATTTCAGATTTACCCACAGGAGGAGCTTAAACGATCGTTCTAGACAGGTGAAAGAGAGACATGTAGTCTCATAGCTTAAAGAATAAATTAGTCTGAACGAGTGGGAAGACAGATGTGTCGCTTTAATAACCTCTTGGAAAGCTTCTATGTAACTTTTTCATCGCAAGATGAATAGCAGCACACTGATAGAGCTCTTTGGTCAGCTCATATTCAGTTTTACGCGAGGCGTGGCAGAGAATTACAATCCAGACGAACCAGAATTTACAACGGAGTCTTTGGGCTATGATCCTTTAGAATGTACCGGTCGGGAGTGGAATTACCTACCTGTTGACGAGCTTATTTATCAGGAATACAGCGACATGGAAGGCTCGAATTTGAACTATATGGCGGCGAACAGTCTTAGAATACGGGTTATAAATGCATGCTCACCAGAAGAAAACGAAGTTGTATATGACGAACAATATGGAGAAGACAGAGCAATGGCTTGGAAACGGCTTAGACCGTCAGCACTCCGCACAGTTGGTAAATGTACGTTGGAGCTTTGATCTCAATTTTAACGGCTTCCATGATAGGTTCCTTGTACATGCTGATAACTTATCTCATTTACAAATTTGGAATCGTCTGCGAATTTCAGAAGTCCATTCCAATACAAGTACAGTGGCTCCGGACAGGTTCGGTGATCATCACCTGTGCCTTTGCTTACATGTGGTACTTCGCTAATATACTTAGTCTATTTCGCCCTCACCAGTTAAATGGGGTAAAACGAAAACTAATCCTAGTTTGTGTCATTGTCTTTTGTTTGGATGCAATTTACTGTATAATTTTACAAGTCTTTGGAATATCTCACTCACCGTTTTCTACGCTACAAAAGACCCCTCTCGACGCATCGTTTTTCGTAAGTGTATGTTGGCAGACCTATTTCTTAACAAACCATTTGCTGATACGAAAATCCAGAAAACAACGGGGTATTATTTTCATGCAAATGATTCTGCCCACCCTATCTACTTTTATTCTCAGTGCGACGATGATATTTCTCGTTTTTCCAGCGTACAATGAACAAAACAAGGAAGGAAAACTTTCAATCGCTTTATTTGCTCCCCTCATTGGTGTTGTACTCAAAGTCATCTCGCGAATCTTTGCCCAGCGGTTATGCAACATTACACATCCAGGATATTCGTATGTCTTACTTGCGCCGTTACATTTTGCATCAGCGATTGCGTTTAGAATCTTACAGGCGGACCTCAGTAGTGTGCAGTCCATGGCTATTCTTGGTGTAATTCACGGCGTTGCAGAGGTCATAGAACGAAGCACCATAGTCTTCTTTGACCATGTTTGTCATGTTATATGGAAAAGAAAGACAGCACCCTGGGGAAGTTTTCGCACTCCCCGCCGTGAGAGATTAATGGCTGATATAAATATCATGGGCATGTTGTACGAATCAACTGCTGTTGTCTCTGTTAATGGATTTTTACACCTATATCAATTAGTTTTCTTAAGAAATTATTTCATCTTAGAGCTGCTTAAATCATTTGCTATCCGGACCTCTATACCCCTGATAACTGAATGGTTTTTCACAAGCGTTTCTTTAGCGATCGAAACTCGATATCAGAATATGGCTGTCATGGCTGTTTGGCGAAGAAGATGGAAAAAACATATCTTAGTAGCAGTGATAAATGCAGTGCCTTTAGCTCTTGCAACAAGTTCGAACTTAATAGACGTTGTTCATGGACGTTTTAATGAATCTAGTCAGGTTTGTAAAATGCCATTCGCCAGCTGAACTGCCAAACACTCCACCTCTACCTTTATTGGATTATAATGATGAAGTAACCGAGAAACTAGGAGAGAGCGAAAGTTTTTTCTTTATACTATCGTGTGCTTAACATGGATTTTTCCCAAGGTGTGCACAGTGTAAAAATTTTCTCTCCCAGGTATCTAGAGGACAGAATGAGCCGAGGCAAGAAACACATGACCACACCATACCATGACAATCGTATAACTTGAAACAGTAAGCGCGCAGTTACACGACATATCCAGACTTTGCTTTTTTTGACTATATGTTACAATTTCTTTGGGTTTTTTTTTTTCTCTATTTTTGTTTGGAATTTATTTTTGTAAGCATCTTTACCTTCCTACACCATCCTCGTCACCTTTTGATTAATTTACACCTCATACTATTTACTTTAATTCTCGAGCAAAATGTTATCGTAAAGTTCTCTTTCTTTAAAGGCAATTCCCTTGGACTCAAAACAACGTAATATTTTCTTACAAGACAGCATTTTTGCCGTATACTTAGAGGTGAATGGTCGAAATTTTTCAGGGACGGTCTTTTGTTCAAGGTAGACTATAGTCTCAGTTCTGCTCTCACTGAAATTTTGAAATTCGCATTAGTTTTATCTATGTATAATTTTTCAGTTTAAACCCTTCAAACGGTTTTCGTTTGGCTTTGGCTGTTTGTACTCTCTCGGATCTTTTAGCTATTTAAGTAATCAGTTGAGTTTTCCTGTATTTGAGGATGGAACTAAACGAATTCTCTAAAGAAATGTTATTTAACTCCAGTGGTTCATTCATTGACGTAAAGTGAGTCACT